AACAAACCAAAAAAATACAATTACAAAAACAAAAATAAAAATAAAAACAACAACGTGATAATAGATGCAAACAAAAGTCACAAACTAAAGAAAAGTTCTGACGACTAAGACAATTTTAAAATATAAACTGAACGACAGAGGTAGCGCATGGGGATTTAAAAAGTCAGGCTAAAACCAAAACTTCGTCTATTCCCATGGAAAGGTCGTATCAAGACTAGCGTACATAGGTCCGCACCATAATCGACTTTAAACATGAGCACACCATTCATGGCAATCACAGTGCTGCACTGTCTTTGAGCATGCCTTAAAACAAAATTCTAAAAGAAATAAAAAGTTCAAACTTAACTCAAAATGGCATAAATAGAGTTGATTACTTGCAGTTATTATTTTCAATAGTCCTCTGGGCAAAAATTTCTAAAGCCATGTAATCTAGACTATAAAAAATAACCCCCAAAAATGGATGGCGAAAAGAAACAAAAGCAAAAGCATAAGAAAAAACAACGTTGTTGACATAGCTCGACAGTGCATTTAAACCAATCACTTTACCACAAAAAGTACTCGAAAATATCAGCCAAAGTACAGTATTGCACAAAAAAATTATTAAAGGAAAAGAAACGTGTCTTTTTCTTTTTTTTTATCACAATGATAGCAAAGATAAACGAAAATAAAAGCCGAAGTACAGTATTCCACACAACTATCATTACGCGAAAAGAAAAGATACTTGTTCTTTTTTTCTATCACAATGGCATACACACCTGAAATACAGTCCTCTCTGCGTGACACTCGACAAAGAAAGGCTCCCACTCAAGGCCTTGCCAAGGGTTCAGCCCCTCGCTCAGGCCCCGACAGCTGGCAAAGCGCACCCGGCATGGGATGCAGTGCAACGACTCACGACACTGATTGACGCGGTACTCACCTGGGAAAGGTGTTGTCGGTTTGAGTTTGAGTAAAGAGAAGCACATCGACACAACAACAGTCATAATACTATTATAGTGCAGGGGAGAAAGGAAGAAGAAAGACAGATAGAAACAGCAAAGAGAAGGAAAAGAAGTAGAACCTACCAGTGGCGTCCTTCGAACACCTACAAAATGACGTGGGTGCGACAGGTATTCATTAAAACAGTTATGAAAAAATTATTTAATACCTTGGAAGGGAAAGGGTTTAGGAGGGCTCCTTTTGATTGTTTTCGTTATTTGAAAACACATTTTACTGAGAAAGTGGAGCAAATGTAGTTTTTTCTAACTTACGAGTACATCATGATTAAACGTTTGGCTGTAGTGAAAAACTCGTCATTTTGAAGCAAGTTTAAAAGTGCAAAGGTAGTATGCACTGCAGTTTGAAATAGACAAACACACTGGTTGATACTTTGATGTATTATTTATATCTGCACAGGTATGATAAGAATAACACATTTATAGATAGATAGATGGTTTTATGTATGTGCATTTTACGACACCATCAACGTAATTTACATAATTTAAGAGGCGGGCAGCGACCCTGCCTAGCAGAGCCAAACTGGGTTGAGAGGGATGCAAGGTCCCAGCCAAAAGACTGAAATACTCAATAAAAAAAATCTCCTTACACTAACTCTTGCCCTCTGCGTGCTATGGCGAAGTGCATAACTGCTACACCACAGACACCGGTATAGATAGATAGATAGATAGATAGATAGATAGATAGATAGATAGATAGATAGATAGACAAATAGACTTCTTTTGGATTCATGCCATTACAAACTTAAACGTTTCAGTTTCAAAGAAGCGAAACGTTCAAAACAAGAAGTTTCTTTTTATTCTGTTCAAGAAGCAAAAACGGTTATTCTTAGGCGAAAACACAATGATTCCGAAGCCAGCGTTCTTCAAAATTGACACGAAATCAATACACAGCACAGTGCGAGTTGACGTGGGAAAGGGTGAAACTTAAACGATGTCCGGTTGACAGTAGGAGTTGCGTTCCCTCGAAATAACTTTGTCAATTTGCGGTGTTTGCAATCATGTTTGGATGCGACGTCGCAGACAACGAAAGTGTGATTGAGAATTTCCTGTTTTTCTCTGGACCTCATCGGCTTCAGTGACGTTTAAAAGTCCTCAGTTGTTTGCTTTTTTTCCATACAATGAAAGGGAGGGGCGATTTACTGCTGGAGTTTCAACAAGTTTACCAAAAGAGCACTGGTTTGAGAAAATAATGAAAAGACAAACCTCTTGGAAGCGGACTTGATGTTTAATTGATATGTGCTCTGCCAATTTTATTCCGTCTTATTATTATTATAAAGGAGTGTCCCGAGGCGAAAAAAGAGAATGTCGATGTTGAATTAAAAAATATAAAAAACAACGTTTGTAGAAAAGAATGCAGTTTAGAGTTTGAAAACCCGGGTAAATGAACCATAGGCAATGTTTTGGTAATTATTTGTAGTGCTGAACGTTACTTCTTCTGCACGTTTGTAATATGTTTAAACGTTTTCAAAAGGGGACTGGGACTTGTGGTGTAAAGACGGAAATTCAATAACATTGGGCAATGTCATTTTATCGAGTACCTCCATCTGTCTGCTGGGATGTTGTACCCAATGTGCAAAATTGTGATTACCTAGGGATCACCGATAAGGGAGACGAGCGTTGTTTAGTCTATAGAAGATAGAAGATAAATCACATGTAGTTTTTGTAAAATGGACATTATTGTTTTTTCCTCCGAGACTTCAGCGATTCCCCACGTTTCTGAAACAGATTTTTCTTTTGTAAGTAAGCCATCAAACGATAGTACTGCGAATGGATCTTGGGCGCTTTCAACTTTTAAAAGGTAACCTTGCTAAACATTGACGTTTAATGTCAGAGAACGATAAAAGCAAGTATGCGATTGTGTGCAAGTCGAAAAAGAGGATAGCAACCACCCCAGGTTCTTTATTTAGTAATGGATTTTGCTAAATCGTTTTTGTATTTTACTAAACTTGACGAAGGACTTTGAGTGAATAGCCCTGGGTAGCTTCTCTATGAATATAGAACATGTTCTCTTAATCCAATCTCTGAATCCCACCGTTTAGAAGCAGGGCTCGTTGAAAATGATATTTGCATTGATAAAGTTGTATGTGCGTGCTTGCCTACTCTTGCTTGATACTTACTGATGGTGAAGAACCTTATCAAAGCGTGATGGTTGTGAGCCGTGCTTGCTTTATTCAACCGAAACACGACAACAGAAATGACAAAGTGTAAAAAAACAACTGGACTTTTGAAATTATGTTTATTTAATGTAATTTGAGATCCTTGTCGTATATAAACCTAACCGTCGTGTTATTATCAGTAAGCATACATTAAGATCATACTAAAGCATCACAGATACTTGAATAAAAATAAAACATTATAAAAAATAGCTTTGTACCAAATATCGCGGGTTACCCTTATTATTTTTAGTTGTACATTGAAAATCATACGTTTTATTTGGCACATTTCTTTCCGTCATTGGAAAAGAATAGGTAATACTGTCACTGTGTATTCCGTCAAGAATGTTCTACCAAAAAAATTACATAATTCTATTTTAAAAAAAAATTAAAACATATCACTCTACTGTCACATGATGGGGTCAAAAAGTCTCTCATGGCTCGCGTTTACCTCATTCGCTATATTCAATTCCCGCACAGACTCGAGCCAAACAAGTAACCAGAAGCGCATTCATCATTCACTCCCAATATATACACAATGGCGACTATGTTAGAACGTGCTAATTCATAAAAGTATGCAGTAATATCTATCTTCAGATTACATTTCTTAAGTCTAGAGTTTCCGAACTCGGGTATACTTATAATAACGCATTCTTGCACCACACTCAACCGCAATTCTTTTTCGACAAAATTTCTTCGTAAGTAAAGGATAGCAACCAAGCATTCCATCACCCTGTATCCTCGTGTGCTGTTGTCTCACAAAATGTCTTATTGCCTCTAAGCTGGACGTGGCTAACCTTCCTTGAGGGCATGCAATGCAAGACTTGTACCAAGGATACACAGACAACTAACACAATCACTCACCAAACGGTCGGTAATAAGGTGGGCGTAAGGATTTAACCAAGCAAATAAGCGAGCTCTGATACTACAATTTGTCAATAAAATTTTCAAAGAGGCAACTATCTCTCTCTGATTACGACGACTGAGTGCGCCTCCACAACTGTTTGTGCATTCCTCGTTTAAACAGAAACCATAATCCCTCAATATAATATTCCACCTAAGCTCACAAAAGCAGAGACATAGCCCCATAATCTCCAACTCTATATATAAAAATCCTAAAATGCATAAAGTGGTCATCCACTAGACTGTATCGCCTCTTCCAGCTGCTCCCGGTACCAACGGCTTTGTAGGTCTTCCTCAACACGTTCCATGAAGGCGCTGTACGGCTGCCGGTGACGGCGACGGTAACGCTGCGGGGACGAAGAAACGTCACATTGGCGATTTTACAACAAAGAAACGTCACAGTGGTGATTTTAAAACACAGAAAAGTAACATGAACGATTTTGTAATAACGCAAAGTCATATTCATGATTCCACATCAAAGGAAAGTCACACCGGCAGTTCAGTAAGAAAGGAAAGTTATACTGACGATTTCCCTCTAAGGAAAGTCACAGTGACAATTTTACAACAAAGGAAAGTCACGGTGACGATTTTACATCAGAGGAAAGTCACATTGACGATCTTACACAAAGGAAACGTCGACGGTTTAGTAATAAAGGAAAGTCACATTGACGATTGTTTCACATCAAAGGATGATCACACGGCGATTTCACAACAATGAGATGTCACATTGACGGTTTCGTATTCAAGAAAATCACATTGATAAGTACCTAAAGACGGAAAGTCACATTGGTACTTTAGCAACAAAGGAAATTCATTTACGATTTCACAGCAAAGGAAAGTCACATTGACAATTTCACAACTAAAGAAATTTCCATTGAAGGTTTCATAACAAAGGAAGGTCCCTTAAACGATTTCACAACGAAAGAAAGTCATTGTCGATTTGCAGCTAAGAGACATTTTGTCCAATTGCTGTATTAACAACCATTGATTTTTGGTAATCGTAGCTTACAGGTGGCGTTGGGGAATACGAATACTTTTATAGTTTAAGTTTCACATTTCACTTCGAATAAGTTTTTAGGGTCACCTTTTGGAACCGGTGTGCTTGCATAAGATAGAAAATGATGTCGACTATCAGCATAATCAACATTACATTGCAAGAGGAACCAAACAGAAGTTGTAAAAGAAAACTGTGAATAAGATTTATATAGGAGGTTTTTTTTCTTGAAGAGGACTTTCAAAAATGAGATATGACGGAGTCATTTGGGAAAAAGTAATTATTCTATCCCCAAAATGCACTTAAAAGCTACTCCACATTCTAAATTCACACAACAACGCACGCTTAAAAACAAACACAAACACCCACTCACCCCTACACACACACACACACACACACACACACACACACACACACACACACACACACACACACACACACACACACACACACACACACAGAAAAAATGTCAGGATATTTCATAACTTCACCCCTATCCCACCCACCCCAAACTTGAATGTTTCTCGTTTGTTTGAACTCACAGTATAAGCTTCATTCTTCTGTGGCCATTTGGTCTTTTCCAGGATGAGTCTTGCTTCCCATGGTTTCTTGGCGGACATAGGAGGTGCCATCTGACGGCCTGGGACCATGTCCCTCTCAGGCGGCTCATTAGGTAGTCCATGGACTTGAGAAAAAAAAACAATGCAAAAAAAATAAATGTAAAGAATTGTACTGTTGTCAGTATTGCTTCAGCCACTACAGAAGAAATTGTACAACCACATGCACAGTAAACAAAACAAAAAACAAAACAAAACAAAACACAACAACGCCCCCCCCCCCT